TGTTTGAACCAACCCAGAGTTAAATGGCACAATTGTTAAGATTTCCAAAGTTAGCATTATTAACAATAAGATACAGGAAGTAATAAGTTGGCACAATTAGTGATTTATCAGTGCTGATTGTTGACTTGTATGTCATATCAGTTGCCCTGTGTGTGTGTGTGTGTGTGTGTGTGTGTGTGTGTGTGTGCGCACACATGGTGAGTTTGGCTGTTGAATGTGAGTGTGTGGGGTGGGGTGTGTAATTGTGGTCGGGTCGTGTTTTGTAGAGGTGTGGCGTGTGTGTTTGTGGTGGCCCAGCACTGGAGGAAGGAAACTGTTAGAACTGGACGAGGTGAGATTAGCATTCAGCTCACACACACACACTAATCTGGATTTGTGGTATGAGGTCTGAAGGTGGTTGCACCATTAATGAGGTGAAACCCCCCCAAACAGTACTGAATTGCTGTGTGTGTGGCTGGGTGTGTGTGTTTTTATCACATGTAGAGAAGAATGTGGCATAACCGAACACATTTTCGTTATTGAGTAACTTATCTTTTAATAAACTTCATCCTACAGCAGTTTAGCCCCGCCCATTCAAACTGAAGTTATAAGGAGCTTTTCAACCTGGACGGCTTTTTAAATGAGGCACAATACAAAACAGCCAGTCAGAACAGAGATCATTTACATATGTCAGTCTTAAATGCACAGCCGGTTTCAATTATAAGGGATAAAGTGAGGTTGGAATATGATGAAGTAAAACGAATTATTACCATTTTTAGTGTGTAAAATCACACAAACACAAATAAGTGGACCTCAGGGGTAAAAATTAAATTCCAAAATATGTAGGATATGGGCCATTTAAGAGGATTTGAGCAATATTAGTATTTTTATAGGAGCAACCTGCACATCTCTGCTATAAATGAAAATGTGAACTTTGTTTCCAGCACCCGCAGTTTGTGAACAATTCAGCCGAAAGCAGCAGGAATGTAAAAAAGTTGCTAAAAAGTTAAATTGATGCACAGCACAGTTAATTCAATAGATTTCTGTGCTGTGGAAACCAAACAGGTTTTCCAACCTCAATACAAAAATAACATAAAACATACATCAAAATAAATATGATTAATGAAAAGAGAGTGTGGAACAAATTGATTTTGACCAAGAAAGTATAGGCAGAAAAAGGTAATTGAAATATTTTATTAACAGCATTTAAAGTATATTTTTTGGTGAAGCTGTTCATAAAAATGTTTTACAAGGGGAGGTAAGATTTCTCTCATTGTTTTCTTTAGGAGGCTTAGTTGTAACACTGTGTTAAAACTAACCCCATCACGTGGAGTTTAACCCCACTGGCTGTGTTTACATGCAAAGATATATTCTGATTATAGATGAAGACTGAGGTGTTGATGCTCACTCTACTCAACAATCTGATGGAAAACCTCCATTCACATGCTCACTACAAGTAATCAGATCCAAAATGACACGCGTGCGTAGAGACCAGCTTAGTGTAGACGTTACCATGACAACGAGCATCACGTGAGTCCAGAGTGAGACGAGCAGCAGTGAGCAGTGCTTGTGTTTTTAATTGCTTTAAAATGATGTCAGACTCAGGAAAACGTCCTTCACGTTTTCTTATTAAAGAAGGCCGAGAGGAAGACGTCGTGTTCTGAGACACATAAGCTGGACGTCCGTCCCACCGCCGTCTTTTAAAGATCAGAGCATAAACTTCGTCTCCTCTGCAGACCAGTTTCTGCTCCGCCATGTTGAACGGTATAAACTTTCACTACGACGTGACGAACATGATCAGAACGGACTTAAACTTTCTGATAGGGAATGTAATCAGATACAGGCGTTTACACGGATATTATTCTTCTATTTAACGGATTATTCACAGGATTACCCACCTCGATCAATCAGATAGAGACTGTATTCCGAATGGCCTCAATCGGTGTGGTCTATTCCGAGGTGTTTACATGGACATATTTTATTCCAACTGAGCTATTAGTCGTATTATTAATGGATTTTAGGCTGCATGTAAACATGGCTATAGTGAGTTATATACATGCTTCAAAACAGTGCAATATTACAGCCACTAGGAGACTGATTAAGACAATGTAGATGTTCTCAGTAATCGAAAACACTTACGATGAAAAGAGTAACAGTCTGCAGGGTGAATTTGGAGAAATATCTATTCCGTTGCTGTCAAAATTCACAGATGACGTTGCTATTGGAATATGAGAATATGACTGAAAGCATGTTCTACTAGAACCTGTTTAACGTGAAAATGTCCATGTTACGTTCATCCCACGTTAGTTTAAGCCCCACTCTCCCCAATGTGTTGTGTGTGTGTGTGTGTGTGTGTGTGTGTATTAGAGGCAGTATCACTCTAATAAGTGTGTGGAACAGTTCTGTGTGTGAAATCCTGTTTTTCTCCTCGGCCTCCACCTCTCTCTGGAACACACTCCCTACACAGCCTTTCCTGTTGTGTTTCTCCTGTGCACTGTTACAGAGGGAGAGGAAGAGAGAGAGACAGAGAGAGAGAGAGAGAGAGAGAGAGCATGCACTTGTCTGGGCTTCATATTGTTGCCTACTCTTCAATCAAAACACACACCAGCTCCAGATGCTGATAAGAAAGGAATAGAAATTCCACTGTTCATGTTCACATACATCTCTATTCCTGCTCCATTTCTGCCTTGGTGACGTTTTCCCTTCAGTAGAAACTGCAGTGTCTCGTTTCGGCTTGTCCCTGCAGCCGAGAGGCTAACAGGATGGAGTGAGGGAGAGCGGGAGAGAGACAGAGGAATGCGCTTTAGAGCCAGTGCCAGGACTGGCATTTCAGCCATGCATTCCTCTATATTAGATATGGAGACGTTTGGATTAAGGCGTATGTTTATTTAATAAACATGAGATGTTGTGATACAGAGCTGCACAGCAGAGAGGGACGGATAAACTATTAGAAATCCAGAACGCTGTGGAGAGTTTGGTGGATTTTAATGTAGTATGACATAATATACTCGAACGATAACTGAGTTGTAATTATATTCCATATATGAAGTGCAGTGAGCGGATGCAACTCTAAAGATACTGGATGCTTCATATTTTCACCAGGAGTCATACGTTCTGGTCCTGGAGGGCTGGTGTCCAGTACAGTTTGCTGATTTACCTGTTTAAACATGCCAGATTGTATCCAGATTGATTGGACAAACACATGAAATCCGAGTTTTGCAGATCGGATATAGACCGCATTTGGAGGCGGTTTGAAATTTCAGATTTTTATAGGCTACGTTCACATTACCAGGTTGAAGTGGCACAAATCAGATTTTTTGCCCTAATGTGACTCAGATCTGATGTGTGAACACGCAAATCTGATTTTTTCAAATCCAACCTGGGCCACTTTCATATGCGGTCCTAGATCAGATACGTATCCGATTCGTGGCCATGCGACCTTAATGTGACGCTCAGATCGGAATTCATGTGCTTTTTTCTCCACTGTGCTGCTCCATCATTCAGTGTTACCATGGCAGCAGCGCCGGACAGAAGTTAAAGCCTGTAAACGGTGGAAAAGCAGCTCATCTCACCTTTTTCTCCTTCGTCTCGCTCTAATAATGAAGCTGAGAGCTGATCAGAGTTAATTATCTTCTCAGCGAAGCTCGTTCTGCTCGTTAGTTTGTGCTGATGATGAACGTGATTCATTCACGTGACGTTACTGAGTAGGATGAGCTCATGAGGGTCATTTCAGGACGCCGGTTCGTCACATTAATGACAGATTTGTATCACTTAGCTAAACGAGGGTGAACCATCATATCAGAGAGATCGGATTTGAGCAAAAAATCTGATTTGAGCACTGAGGCTTGAAATGTGAACGTAGCATCTGATCAGATTTCTAAGTGTCTTTTGTGTCTCTCGTAAAATGATGAACAGTGACAACATCAAATCCAGAGTGACGGAAATGCTAGGATTCAAGAAGAGAGCCACAGATTCATGCTTAGGCCAAAGGATTCTGAGGAGTTTGGAGGGCGAGACGATGCATCCCTATTTCTTCAAGCATCTGTGTTTGAAATCCACATCACCAGCGTAGCTACTGACGTCTACGTCTTTTTCACAGCAACCGATTCGGTTTGGTTGGACTGGACACACAAATCCAATCTGATCACTTGCAAATAACAGTGCTGACAGTTGTCTCGAAAGGTCTTATTTGAGGAACAGATCCAGTTGCCTGCAGTCTGAACACAGCCTTACTGTCAGGTTTAGTAAATGTTTGAGCAGGGAGATCACCCGATTTTGCTGGACATCCATCCTCCAGGGCCAGAATTTAGTTTTGTTTCAAAACTGCTGTAAAATAAACTCATGTTCACCCTGTAAGTCTTTTTTAATGAAATATTTCATCAGTACCAAACATTACTGGTCCAGAAATTAACACTATGAGCAATACTGTAAATTATATGTGGCACAAAGAAAAAAATAATTAAATAAACATGGTCTTCTCAACATTTCTTTTTTTCTATTTATTTTTTTTTATTTTACAATTTAAACGTATAAGTTGCTGATACAGGCCTGTAGGCTCAACAAGTGCACAGAGTTTAGGCAACTTTCCAACTAAGATAGCAATACTTGTTAATGACACTTGTTAGGGTTGAAAAATCATAATGTAGGCTATAGAAATCAAAAATTGAAATGTATCGAGATTTTTTTTAATCACATCTTGGTGCCTGAATTACAGTCGAATCAAATCATGAGTTGCCTAGAGATTCCCACCCCTAGTAATTAGATTACTGGTGTTAAAAGTCTTTAGAATATTTCCCTCTTGCTGTTCTTTGGCTAAACCTTGGTTGCAAACATCAAGTTATCAGCAAATGGTATTAAATTTTTCCTTGTATCTGTAAATAACATATTGGCCATTGATATGTTGTGTACATGCATGGTTTTGACACAGGTAAGATTCTGTAATAAGGGAACAGAAGTAACAGATTGTTTGGTCTTGATATTTTCCTGAGTTTTTAATGTTCCTTTCTCTATTGATGTTTCAGGGAACCAGCTCAAAGATGGCAGCCCGCTCCGGGCTCCAAGGCAGCCTTGTTGGTGAAAGTGAACAACACCGGCAGAAACCAGTCCGCAACTCCCGCTAGCACCAACCACCTTGTGCACCTCGGCCCGTCTTCCAGTAGCTCCACCTACACCCCGTCCCACCCTAGCAGGCCTGGCCACTTTGGCAATATGGCCGTGCCTGGAGACCCCAAGCAAGCCTTCCACCTCAAGAAGGCTGACAATGGCAGCTTCTGCCTGGTAGTGCCCAACTCTGGCTCTGCTTCGTGCCCAACCCCCCAACACCCCATCTCAGCTGCTCAGCGCCCTTCTTCTCCCCCATATGGAGCCACGCCCACTGCACCTGCCCCACCCATCTACGATGAGCCACCAGCCATGGATCCCCCCATTTATGATGAGCCACCAGTGGAGATGGAGGTAGAAGGGGTTCAGCCTTTAACCCGCAGTCACTACACCTCCACTCCCGCCCACAGCCTGCCCCGAGCAGTGCAACCCCCCAAACTCCTCCAGTTCCCCCATGGCAAGCACAGGCGTAACCCCTCAGCCGGGGACTACAGCCCAGCTGGCCGTGAGTGCATCAAGCACATGGTCAACGTAGACCCATCCGCCTCCAGGCTGATCCAGCCCCAGCATCCCTTGGCCTCCAATGCTGGCCTGATCCAGTCTCAACCTCCTTTGTCCTCTAATCCCAGCCTGATTCAGTCCCAGCCTCCCTTGGACTCCAATCCCGGTGAGATCCCATCTCAGGTTCCTTCAGGCCTTCCAGCCCAGGCAAAGAAGGAGGTCTCTCTTGAGAAGAAGCAGTCTTGGAGGCTGCCAGAGCCCAGGCACAGCAGGCAGAGCAGCTTGGCATCCCAGGAGTACCCAGGTCCAGCGGCTGTCACCTACCAGGACTCTGGTTACTCCACTGGACCTTCACCCAGCCTGCGAAGGAAGAACCGGAGGAGGGTCCCGGGGCCTGGAATGGTCGGTTCAGGACGTCCCGGATCGGCAGGAAGTGGAGAACTGATGGCACTCAATGACAAGCTAATGGCAGAGATGAAGGCGGCAGTGAGCCGCTCAGTGTCCAAAGCCAGCCTGGACACAGAAATGGGTTCAGAAGCTTCTGGAAGTGGAACCGCCCGCTCCCCTCCAGGATCACTAAGGAATGGGACACGGCCTGGAGGGATGCGGGGGTCCAGGGAGGACGTCACTACCAGCGAGCATTCACTGTACCGCAATGGTGGGAATAGCCATGGCGATGTGCCAATGTCACCGTTAGCAATGGAAGGCATGGCCATGAGGCAGAAGAGGACTTATGAGAAAGTGGACTCTCTAGAGAAAAGCGGAGCGTCTCAGACAAGCCTGTCCTCACCGGAACCACCCATGTCCCCCTCCCAGGTACATTTCTATGTGTGTGGGTGTGTGATGGGGGTTTGGATGATAAATCAATAATTGTTGATACAATTATTGATACAATTTTCAGTGTTTGATGCAGTGTAGGTAGTATGTTTTTGAGGTGTTTTGGTTCGAATGATTGTGCCGTTCTGTTCTCCTCAAGGATAAAAAATAAGACAAAATCAAAAATCAGAACACATAACAGTTATCGATAATTACTGATATCAAATAATGTAAAAATTGTAAATATTTTGTGTTTTGTTTTTGGCTATATTGCGCAGCCCTAGTGTGTTTTGCTCTCACTGTGTTGACATTTTGCTGTTTCCCCATGAGGGAAATGGATTTACGAGGGATGTTCTGAGCCAGTTTTTTACCATCCGATCCAAGTTCTTTAACGTTGAGCACAGATACTCACACTGGTCAGATTAGACATGGTTTCTCCCACTGTTCTTTCTCTGACCACAGCAGGAATAGAAATTTACGTCCTTAGTGTTCTTACTTTCACTCACGCTGTCCGTCCCCTCTTCCCTTTCTATCTATTGGCCTCTGGGTCAGATTCCCAGTGTGTCTCATATGGTTTGTCCGAGTGGAAAAGCAAAACATCAGTCTCCATCCGGTCGCCGTGGAAACAATACAGCAGTGAGGGACTGACTAAGGGCTTCCTGTCTCAGAGGGTGCAAGTGTTCCATTCCAGCTTTATCTGTGTGTATCTCTGTGTGTGAGTGGGCGTGAGTGGGGGCGTGTGATTGTGGAGACTGAGATTAGGCGGATTGTTTTTAGTGGAGGAGGGATGTGGTTTCTCTGAGGCTAGGGCTTAACGATTTGACCAAAGTATTTAATTGTATTTTTTCTGACCAATATTGTGGCTGCGATTTAAATTGTGATTATTTCCTATGAATTGAGGTCCAGGCTTGTTTCTTTGGTCAGACTTACAGTTAGTTGTGGTTGTGTTGTCCTGTACACAGCACATGGGTATTCGGTTGCTTCTGATTGGTCTAACTCTGGGGTCGGCAACCCAAATGTTAAGAAGAGCCATTTTGTCCTCAAACCACCTGGGAGCCACAACATTTTACCGTCTTGGCTGTAAACATGTCAGTATCTGCTAATGTACTAGACTAAAAATATAAAGGCTAAAAATATAATATAAATGAAAACGCAGACTTACTTTGCTCTGCTTTAAGCTTTAGCTCAGCTATAGCCGCTTTTCTCGCATCTCCAGCAGGAAACTTTTCCACTAAAGTAGAACAGTTTCTTGTAAAATGTCTCTCAACATTCAGTTTTTCACAAGGCTGCTTATGAGTCGCTTTTCATTCTCCAGCTTCTTGTTCAAATTTTCTTGTTTCTCTTTAAATGGTGCCTGAAGCACCTTAATGTAACTGCTGCACCATTTAAGGTGGAACGGGAACATTTGAATGAGAAACTGACTTTTTAGTGTTTGTCAGTTTCTCGTTGCAGATTCAACGTATCAGGAAACCAGCTGGAGTGATTATAAATGCTAATAAGTCCATTCGTCTCCAAATTAACAATGTTCATCTTAAATCTTTCTCTTTGCCTTTTCGTTAGCTACCTGCTAGGCGAGATTGTTGTCATTGCTATGGTGACCAGCAGCCTGCGTGCCAACCTTCAGGGTTAAAGGCTGAATTAGCAGTTACAGACTCCAGTGTTTAAGACAATTTATTGTTAAACTGTGTTGAACGATCAGCAGAGCTTTATTTTACTGCAAAGGAGGATTATTTTACAGTATTTTTATCTAAAAATCTAATTCTGCTGTGGAGCCGCAACAGGGCAGTAAAAGAGACGCATGCTGCTGACCCCTGGTCTAATGATCTACTAGTGTTTCACAAGCTCTGTAATGATAGATTAAATTTCCCCAATCAAAAGTTGTTAAGACAAACTGTTGATCATGTAGGCTATTCCAAAATTGCAGTGCTTGCAGTTTGAAAATTGCTCTAAAATATTTTATTATTAAAAGGATTAATCTTTTGGACCTCAGGCTCGTTTGGAGTCTCTTATTGGATAATTACACAGGAGTTTAGGAACATGATTTTTTTTTGTTTTGTCAAGCTTTTTATTGAATCACATTGCTTCCACCTGCACGAAAATCATGATAGGGATCTCAGTTCATTGCTCAAGAACAGTGTTGTTTCTGAACACCGCGGCTGTAGCATGCTGACCACGGTAGGAACGCCACCGTCATAGGCCGGCATTTTTTTCCATCATAGCTCAGCTAAGTGAAGCGCATTTTAGATCGTAAGCGTTAACTACAGTGCTTTGCACTATGCCATGCTCAAAGCTTCAAGTTTACCATAAGCTGCGTAGAAGAAGAAGCACATGCACAAAATACTTCCACTAAATTTGTCACATCTGTCGCTTTGCTGTCGTGCCTTTTCGCGTAAAACAAGCTTGTGTTTGCTTCATTAGTGCTGTTGTTACTTTATGTTCATTTATACAGAGCGTGCAGTGAAATATCTAAAGTTTAACTACAGTTAGCCTAACGTGAGTGGTTGGAAAGGATGTTTTGGTGGATGTACTGCGGCAGGCGTGTGCGATGTGAACTAAAACTCTGATTAAAATGGAAGTGTATCTGTTCATTAGACAGATGACTAAAATAGCTTGGAAGATTATTGTTTTTAAGGGTGATTTTCAGAATGAATATTTGAGTAACATCAAGTATTCAAAGCCTGTAAAATGCTGTTTTGGGCAGCTTTGATAGATTTGTTAATATAGTTGCCATAGGAACACAACTTTGTCTTCACAGGAGAAGAAAAAACTTTGTTAACTTGTGAAGGAGGTTAATGTAACACCATATTTTCTAAAATGCTTTCTATTTTGGACTATTTCTGGCATTTCTGTAGGTCTGTTCATCATGAAATTGCAACACGATGCAAAGGGTAACTGGAATTTTCAGATTACGCAAAAATGTAAAAAACAAAAACAGAGTTGCTTTACGGCAATAATGAGTGTGTTTTCATGCATTTAATAATCCGATAACTGCAGAAAATCAGATTTTGTCGGTAATCCGATCAACGCATTTACATGCACTCGAGTGATCAGATAATGGGGAAACTCTGGGTCTACATGAGTCAGACAGTAATCAGATTTCTGCTTTGCAACCAGCCAATAAACTCACAGAAGAAGACGTGACGTAAACGTAAAGTAAAACACAAACTTCATGCCACAGCTTTTTTTTTTAATCGCACCACTTTACCTGAAAATATGAACTTACATCATCTAGAAGAATTATTAAATCCTTCATTTCATCAAGGATGTTGGTTTCAGCGTCACTTCAAAAGTGTTTTGCTGCATCTGGCAGCAACACTGCTCACTTATTTCCGGTACTGCTGTCTGTTTTCGCACATGCCCAGACTGAGTAATCTGAAAGAAATCAGAGTAAGAGTTTACATGCACTGAGAAATCTGATTACTGAGCCTCTTTATTGGATTTCTTAATCGTACTCCAATCTAAACATCAGAGTGTGCTGTTTACATGACCATTTGAATAATCAGATAACTGCAGAAATCAAATTATGATCGGATTATTGAGTGCACGTCAACGCACTCAGTGTTTTTAAAAGCTGTTTATATTTTCATCTGAGCTGCAATTATACTATGTAGGGATTTAGTAAACATACATATTGTATCGTGATCTCAATTCTAAGCAAATAAATCACGATACCAAGTTAATCAAGAATCATGCAGCCCTTCTTCCGCCTACTGCTACCGCGAGGCCTTTTCATCTACAGGGAATTAGAGAGAGAGAGAGAGAGAGAGAGAGCCATACAACACATGAACTGATGATGATGGTTTGTGGTATAAAGAGAGAATCAGCCTGATTTGAAGCAGTTATGGCACGAGCACTGTCTACACACACACACACACACACACACACACACACACACACGTGGGCTCAAAGCTTTTCAAAGGCTTGCTGCTGCTTAGTCACCTCCACTAAGTAGAAGAGGAAAACCTTCACACTCAGGCGGGTAGAGAGAGAAAGAGAGATGAAGAGAGAGGGATAAGGAGAACGAGAGCGAGAAGGAGAAAGCCAGATTCCACTACAGCGGCCAGAGCTCAGGTGAGTCTGGTAATGGGCTGCATGTGTGTGTGTGCGGCCGTGTATAAGGGTCTTTGTGGGACCAGATATGAAGCGGATGTGTGTGTCAGTGCATTAGATATAAATTTGGGAATCGAGTAGCTCTGCTGAGCAGCAAGTAGGTCAGTGTTGAGCAGGAGGAACTGTGATTCCCCCTGCTGTCTCTCACAGCCATGGAGAACTATGCGCAGTGTGAGGCCACTGTGTGCACTTGATTTATACACACACGTTGTGTGTGTGTGTGTGTGTTTGTGTGTGTGTGTGTGTGTGTGTGTGTGTGTGTGTGTGTGTGTGTGTGTGTGTGTGTGTGTGTGCTTTTTAATCACAAGGGCTTATAACTTTAGATGACTCATCTTGGGCTCCCATCATTCTTCTGCTAAAGAGAAAGAGACAAGTAGTAACACAGAGAGAGAGAGAGCGAGCAGGGATTTCACTTAGTGCCACTAGGTGTTTCTAGATCGTGCTCCCCTTTGGCTTATTAGCTTTAGTACGCTGGTTATGAGTCAGTGTGTTTGAAACTCGATTTTCCCACACTAATGCCTAGCAGGGGTCGCTAACGCTGGCTACCGCATCATTCCTTCCCCCGCCAGCCGTTTTTTTATTAAACAACTGGAACATAAATTAACCTCTACTCAGAGAGCTCTCTGGACCTCTCCATAAACTTCCTCTCTCTCGCTCTCTCTCTCTCACTCAGACACACACACACACACACTTTCCTCTTTCTCTCTCTCTCTCTCTTTCTCGTTCTTACACTCATATTCAAGTTTTTTGGCATGACTGTTTTGAGTACGGTGTTGCCAAAGCCTATAAAATTCAACGCAAAGTGAAACATAATGTGTAGAACTAAAAATAAATGTAGAATTTATAACTGTAGTAATGATGATAGTCGTATTGAAATAACAGTTACAGTA